CAGTGACTGGTCCCTCCTGACAATATGTCCGAAGTATGAGAGATGAAGTTTGGCCATCTTGGCCTCCAAGGAGCACTCTGGCTGCACTTCCTCCAAAACGGACGTATTGGTTCTTTTGGCAGCCCATGGCACTTTCAATAATCTTGACTGCTAACCACAAAGTCAGTGGCTCAAACCCACCAGATATTCCTGGAAATCCTCTACAGTATTGCTAAGAGATGGAACCAACTCAACAACACTTAACAACAAACATATGTAGTCATTTACATTAAATTTAAAAAGCAGATAACTTACTTCAAAGTCTATCAGTTGCAGGTCAGCAATCAGAGTCACCAGCAGCCCACTACTGTAGAGTTCTTGAGCTAGCTGAGCCACTGCTTCTGTTGGTGGCTCCTTGTCATTGGTGCCACACAGAATTTCTTTCATTGCTTGCAGTGATTTTGACACTTCTTCTGAGGCCTATTAACAAAAAAGTACAGCAGTGGTTTAAAAGAATAAACATTTTTCAGGTGATAATAAACAGAGAAATAAAGAAACAAAGAAACACCTCCTAGGTTCTGTTTGCTTATAATCAAAAATGTTAAAGTTACAAACAAAAACCATGTAGTAGGCACTGCTTTCTTATTTTGAAAAAAGTTACTAAAATTTGTTTATGTAAAAAAGATCTTTAGTATCCCTATTTAACATACTTGAAACAATCTTTCTTTAAGGCATAATCAGACACTAAATTAGTCGGCAATTAAACATAAATTTTATTTGCAAAAATCATTACGACTTTGAAGATTAGCAGTAATTACCAATTTTTAGTTAGATGTTTTTTTTTCCAATGAATAGTATTCTGATTTAACAGATGAAATACCCATTACGTTTTCTTTGTAAATCCCCTTATTCTTCACATATAATCATTACAATCTTAGCTAACTATGATATGTTAAAATACAAACACACACAGCTTAAAAGAACCTAGGAACAGTAAGCTAAGGAAAAGAAGCCAGACAAAAAGACCACTCATTGTACGAGTCCACTTATGTGAAATGTCCAGAATAGCTAAATCCATAGAGACAGAAAGAGGATTAGTGGTTGCCAGAGGTAGGGGTAAGGAGAAAATGGGAATGGCTACTTCATGGGTTTCCTTTGGGAGTGACTAACATGCTCTGGAATTAATTAGTAATGATGGTTCCATAGCAATGTGAATGTACTAAAACTCACTGAAAATTGGTTAAAATGGTAAATTTTTGAATCACCTCACTAAATTCTAAAGAATGGATAGAGATTGGGAATGAAAAACAAACTAATTTAGTTTTAACTTATTTGTTAAATATTTTAAAATAAATGTAGTTTGATTACTTTCAAGTATGATACTATAGTCATTCTGAAAGCAAAAGGAAAAAAGTAGAATAAAATGAATTAAATAAAACGAATACACAGTAGCATGACACTACTTTTTAAAAAGTAATATCCAAATCCTTATTATGGTCAGACTGAAAAAAGCATCTTAGAAGTTACTCAAATACCTTTCTTCAGTCTAGAAGAAAATACTTCTTTGACCTTTTATGACAATATTTATCATTTTATTCTCTAGGTTTGCAACCCAAAACAGTACAGTTTAGTTCTGCTGATTTTGAACTTCATGGACTAGTACATGTACCTTTTGTAATTAGCTTCTTTCACTTGACCTTGCATTTGTGAGATTCATCTAAACTACTGCATTATGGGCAGAAATGATTTCATTTTCAGTGCTGTATAGGACTGTACTGATAGCTGTACCACAGCTGCTTTATTAGTTCTATCATTGATGGACATTGCTGTATTATGTGAACAACAATGCTACAAACATTCTCATATATACAAGTGGAAGAATACTTTGAGAGTTCATACCTAGGCGTGGAACTGCAGGGTTTTAGCAAATGTACATCTTCATATTTAATTAGTAATATATACCTGGTTTCCAACATGGTTTTATCAACTACTACTGCTAATTTATGAAAGTTCTCACTGATCTTCATTCTTGTCAACACTATTATTATTAGACTTTAAAACTGCTGTGAATATGGTGGTTGTGACATGTTATTTTATTGTGGTTCTAGTTGGCCTTTTTCAGATTACTAATGAGAAAGAAGTTTTTTCATGTTTTCTGCTTTTCTCTCTTTTTGTCATTTATATTTATTCTTTATGAAACATGTTCCTTTTGGGTCAATATTTGGCTCAATATTACAATGCATACTTGAATTTAAAACATATTCTACATTTCTTATAAAAACCAGGATTGTATCATGTACTAGCATAGAAAGACAACTATGAACACAAGGGTGTTTTATTTTACAGATACCTTGAAACTTGCTATGAATTACTTTAGAGAGAAATCTAATAATGAAGGATTTACCATCCTTTCCAAAGAGTATAACTAAAATTCTAGAAGGTTCTTGCTATAACATGTCCCTCTCACTAGTACTTTTAATAAAACAATTTTAAAATGAGGTTGCAGTATAGTAGAAATTGTTACCAATTTTTACCTCTCATGCAGGTATAACAGTATAACATCATATACCAGTATAACTTCTTACATCTTTAAACTCTGTAGTGTAGGGTGATCCAAAGACAACAGATTAAACAATTAAAATGGCATAAGACTAGAAGTAAAACTTAAATGCATTTATGGACTCCCTATGTACACATCACAGACCACATTTAGGATTCTTCATTGACCTTTTACATTGTTTTTGGCCTTAAAATATATGTATATATATATATTTTTAAATGATAATGTTTTAGCTCATACCTTCTCTGTCTTTTTGTCTTGTTTTTCCAAAATTGCCAAGTTGTCTTTCAGAGTTTTCACGATTTCTGCTGGATTTTTGTGTGATTTGCTAAACAAAGGCATTTTGCAGGGGGATGGCTAGAAATCACTTTTTTCAATACAGAATGCTAAGAACAAACAAATAAAACCAATAAATAAATGTACTGTGGTTAAAACTGTTATACCAAAACACCTTATCAGTTTTTAGTAACATCAGTTCAGTAATTTGACACATTAAATGCTATTACATTAAAATTATTATAAAGCAGTATTTTTTTTTAAAAAGATCCCTCTGCCACTTAGATTTCAACTCATAAGGACCCTATAGACAAGGTAGATAGAACTGCCACATAGGGTTTCCAAGGTTGTAAATCTTTATGGAAGTAGACTGCCTCATCAGACTGTTTCATCTGTCTTCTACCGAGCAGCTGATGGGTTCAAATCACAGGTCAGCTGCCCAATGCTTAAACCACTGTGCCACCAACTCACCCTACTGCCACTAAGTCAATTCCCACTCACAGTGACCCAATAGGGCAGTGAGAATTTCCCTGTAAGATTTCCAAGGCTGTTAATGTTTATGAAAACAGATACCCTGTTCTTTCTCCTGTACAGTGGCTAGTGTGTTTGAACTACCAGCCTTGCAGTTAGCAGCCTGTATGTGGTACCTTGAATTTACTTGAAATGGTTTTTCTATCCAAAGTTTTCTTAATTCCCGTGCAAATAGGCTGTACAGAACTCTAGCACCAGGACTGGCTAGTTTTGCCATCCCACTAGGTTTAAAAGGAGCCATCTCAGAAGCAGGAACAGCTAATCCCAGGACCATCAAGAAAGAAGAACATGAGCGTAGTGCGTGAAATTCCTAGCTGGAAAGTGGGAACAGCAGGGGCAGCAGCATGAAGGACAGAGCAGTTGTGGGCGTCTAGGCCCACTGACAGAGTAAACATGAGTGCCTACAGGCTTACAGAATGTGCCCTTTGGGCATTTACAGACTGGCTAAAGGAGCTTAGCAACACTTGCCGGAGGAGGGCAAAAGCTGAGGGGCCACAAGGCTTAAAGGCTGAAGACAAGAGTAGGCATGCCTGCAGAACAGCAGCAAAGAGGCATTTCTGATTGGAAAGCTGCTGCGTCCTGAGCTGTCCCTCCCCCTGTTCACTTCCCTAATATAAAACCCCTAATTGTGAGTATTGGTATGAGTTCTATGGCCACTGAAATGGATGATCAAACCCAGATGTGAAGCAGAGTGCTATGGGAGAGATGGTTGGTGTCTGAATAGGGCAAAGAAGGCTGTAGAATGGAGATATGTGTGACCTCCACTTAACAGGAATCAACCCTGGGCTGGTTTTGACTTTGATTCTTTTTCCCCCTTGTGAAGCCAGAGGAAGTCAGACATACATAGTTTTTGCACAGCCCAATACTTAACCAATTGTGCCAGCAGGGCTCCTTAATATTTAAAAAATAACTACTAATTTCTTTGTGGAAATCACAAACCTGAAATGTAAAATGATTTAGAATGGTTTTTATTTTCTCTTCAACTATTCAGCTGGCCATATTCACTAATGGAAAAACCTCTTATATCTTCATGTCTGGGATAAGTACTGGATTGCTAACTGAAAGGTCAGTGGCTCAAACCCACCAGAGCACCTTGTAAACCCTATACAGACTCGCTATGAGCTGAAACCTTGATGGCAGGCACTTAACAACAACAGCAGTATCTTCATGTCTAGTCAGCACTCTTCCAGGAATATCAGTGCTTACTGCTGATAACACCTAGTACATAGAGCAGTGAAAGCCAAATATGACTGTCACTTCCCTGTTTAAACTAAATGTGTATATGTTGCTGTTGTTGTTAAGCGCTGTCGAGTCGGTTCCGACCCATAGCAACCCTACCTAGGGTATATATAAGAGGAAAATGTTATAAATGAAGGTCCCACTTAAGTTGTTGCCATTGTTAAATGCCATCAAGTCAGTTCTGACTCATAGTGACCCAGTACAGGGTTTCCAAGGAGCGCCAACCTTATGGTCCAGACAGATCATTATCCCACGGTGGCAGTAGTGGTGGTGGTGTGCTGTGGAGTCAGTTCCAACTCAAAGCGACCCTACCTAGGGTTTCTGAGGCTTAAATCTTTACAGGAGCAGAAAGCTTCATCTTTCTCCTGATGAATGATTGGTAGTTTCAAACCGATGACCCTGAGGTTAGCAGTCAGACTCGTAACCACTATGTACCAGAATTCCTGCATTATCCCATAGAGGCATATTAATTTATTTTATATTTAAATTAAAAAAATTGCAAACATTCCACAAATATGATGTAGCAAATCAAAGCCTTTTGTGACCTAACCTCCCAGAGATAACTATTATAAGTTTGCTATATTTTCCAGTGTTTTCTGTATACATACTAACAAATGTTTGTTTGTTTTTAAATTAGAACCATACTAAACATAGTATTTTGCAACTTTTTTGCTACCCATTACCTTCTTCGATATCATTCCATGAGTGTATATTTAGATCCAATATAATATTTTATAGCAATATAGTATTGCATTTTCACTATATCATAATTTACTAATATTTTATTGATGAATATTTGAGTTACTTGAACTTTCTCCCAATATTTTCTAATTAGCAATGATGTAATTACTCAAGAAAATATTGCATGCACAATGTTCTCCCATGTAAGCTATCACATAATTCGCAATAAAACATTTAAAAAAAGAAAATAGTGCACGCACACACACATATGCATATACCAGTTAACAGCAGTACCCTAACAGCAATTCCTATTAGTACAGCCTTGACTACGATTCTAAATTCTTCATTTTTTTTAATTCAATTTGTCATATCTGGTTCCTTAGGATTTCTGCCAGATCTGTGAGCTACCTCGTATCTGTCCAATATATTCCTTCTCTGCTTAAGCTAACCAAAGTCAGTATTGTTTATGATCAAGAATTCCAACAGTACAAGTATACATATGAAGCAGAAATTGAAACTTGGTGTGAATTTTGATAATAAAACAGAATATGAAAGATAGTTCCTATTTTCAGTGAGGATCCTGAGGCATACCTCTATTCCTCAAGGTGGGAAGGCATGTGTGAGAGAAACTTGTCTATTCTCAGTAAAAGGCACTTTCCCAAGGAAAAGTTTAAAAGCATGTGAAGGCATCCCAATGTGCCTCAAAACTGAAAACTGGCAGAACATTAAAAGATAAAAGATGTGAAGATCAGATTGCGATTCTCAGCAGGCAGCGCTGGTGCAAGCCAAGAGCACTGAAAGTACACTGTGTCTTCCTTCTTTATAACCTCAAGAAAAAAGTTACGAAGGTGTACAAGGCTTTAACAATCCTTTCTTTAATATACAGACCTAAATATACATAAATAAAGGCAGAATGCATTTTAAAAGTTTATGTAGTGGGGAGGGGATGGCTGGAGGGAGAAAGTAGTCATTAAATAGCTGGGGCAGATTTCTGTCATTTATTACCTGTTTGATCTTGGATACATCATGTGACCTTTCTAAGAGCCTATGTTCTTATCTACAAAATAGGGATGAGAGCATCTCCCACTTATGGTTGCTGTGACAATTAAAGGAATGTAAAGTGCTTGCACAGGTCCTTGAATAAGGTAGGCATGCCATCATATTAAGCTGCTATTATTACAAAAAAGTTCCATGACATATTTAATGAATTACTTCACTGGAAACAAAGACCTATCAATTCAGATAATGTTCTGTTAATTAAGTGTTCCTAGATACTCAATGAATAATGAAGACCATAGAAGAATATTGATAGCACCATGGACTTCGAGAAGAGCAGGCAAATTTATCTTGGAAGAAGCAGTCTGAATGCTCCTGAGAAGCGAGGAAGGTTGACATTTCATCTCTCATACTTTGAACATGTGTTCAGTCTGAAAAAGGACCTCATGCTCGGTAAAGTGAGGGTCACTGAAAAGAGGAAGACCCTGAATGAGATGGATTGACAAGTGGCAGCAGCAAATGGGCTCAAACATGACAACTGTGAAGACTGGGCACTGTTTTGTTCTGTTATGTATAGAGCTGCTCTGAGTTCAAACTGACAACAACGACAAATACTTCTGGTTTCTGGATTTTTTTTTTTTTTCTTTTCATTTTGTAAAATATAAACTTACTCTTTGAGGATTTAATATTCAATATTCAAACTGTAGTTATTGTTAAGTGCTATCAAGTTGATTCCGACTCATAGCAACTCTGTACAGGGTTTCCGAGGAACAGCTGGTGGGTTTGAACAACTGAACTTTCAATTCAAACTGACCTTGTAGTCCAGTGCCTATCCTACAGAGCCACAAATATCTATCATTAAAACAGTGAAAGAATAAACAGGCTAAATATATTTGTGTGATTGTTCTCTTTCTTCATGTAATCCTAATGTACTAAGAGGAAAATGTTTATTTAAACTGTAGGAGTTTCAACTAAATACTCCCAGACATCAATATATATAGTGTGCTTTTGTTCATTACATACTGCTTTCATTGTATAAATGCTAATTCTGCTGAGATTACAAATGTGTTTAAGACTTCCAGGTTAATATTGTGGTTAGCCAGCATTTCCTGATTTACTGTCTCCCAACTTTTCATTTACCTACTGGTTTGTTTATTTATTCATTTGTTGAATAAGTAATCTGAATATGTACTACACACAGGTACCTTATTCATTCTAGAGATAGAGCCATGAACAAGAAGAACTCAAGCCTTGATTTTGGGAACTTATTAAATTAGGGAAGTGAAGATTTTAAAAGGAATGGGAGTATATAATAGGAAGATATGATATATATATAATATGCTATTGTGGTTAAGTGCCATCAAGTCAGTTCCGACTGATAGTGACCCTGTATAGGGTTTACAAGGAGCAACTGGTGAGTTTGAACCGCCCACCTTGTGGTTCAAACTGACCTTGCGGACCAATGCTTTATCCTACAGCGCCACACCAGGACTCCAATATATAGTATATTGTTGTTAAGCGCCGTCAAGTAGATTTCAACTAACAGCAACCCTGTAGAGGGTTTCCAAGGAGCGGCTAGTGAGTTTGAACCACTAACCTTGAGGTTCAAACAACTTTGC